TGCGTGGAATAGCTCAATGTGTTTTCAATGAAATCTTTATAGACATCTGGAGTACGACAATCAACAGAATTGTCAGTTAGATACGTTTCACAACACTTGCACGGAAGACAAAAGTCTTATCCGACGCGTTCAGGTTTAAGCAATCTATCTTGATTCGTTATAAAAGCATATACAGAAGGAAATAGTCCAAAAAACAATTTAGTCCAATTTCCTTCGAAGTATTTACTATTTCAACATATAACTATGACGAACTAACAGTTTGAAGAAACCAGACTTATGGAAACTTTAAACCAATTGACACTATGATTATAATAGTTAATTATTAAGTAGACTTGTCAATAAATATCGTACGTTTACCAGCACACCTTGAATGTTTTCATGAGTTTGCTGAAATTCACAAGTTTGTGTGAGACAGTGCCTTACGAAAAAAGAAGTACAGAATTGTCACTGACTGACCAACATCTCTTCTCCGGGTGATTTGATCACAAAATTCCAGGTGCGATATGAAGCATGAGCATTCATTCAAAAACCGTGTTGGGAAGAGCTAATTAGTCAACCCTGAAAGTCAAAATGATAATAGCTGTTTCGCGCATGTCTTTTAGATGGTTCTTCATAGCACGGATGTCAAATTAATCGGCCAATATTGAACAATATCACAACGTGGTCTCGTTTTGTATCTAAAAGTGATAATATATGTTTTCCAGACAGTCGAATTAGATGTCTCTACCCTAGGGTTTATTCTATATTCATGTGAGTTTACAATGTCCGTTTTGTGTGATCTATTAAAGCCGAAATCAACAACATCACCAGGTTGGCTTCTGACACTTTATATCAGTACCTTTCTTCCATTCGCAATTTTGCATCAACATCATCCTATACCAATGGCGAACGCCTTTAAATATTGATGACGTTTGTTTCACAAAACTTATACAATTTGTCAACCATAACGATTTCTCATATTTATCTCTTGTTATCACTGAAAAATTATACCCGGAAGCACTGAACGGTTGTCTCACTCTAGTATAACACACCTCAGCAGTGTGTACTCACGACCCAGCATGACGAATTTCAATTCAAGACATAAGGTCTCGCGTGAGCGTGAATGCATAACCTAAAGACCACTGAATCCTTCGGCATCCAACGGTTTTCATGATGATAATTGAAGTGGTAATGTGCACACTCTAAATAATCGTCGTGTCATAAACAAATGTGAGCTGTCAATTTCCTTCTGGTTTCTTATTGCCACTACCAATTCCAATGTATTAATTTAGTAATAATCAAAGCTTCCATTTACAACAAACCAATAAAACGAATTGTAGAAACGACATAGTTACCTATCAGCCTATACTTACAGACTCACGTTGACAGGGCATCAAAATGAATTTTTCATTGTATGAGTTTTGAATACACTTACTTAAGATAGTTTGTATAATTACGACCTTGACTGATTTTCCAGGATTTACATCGAATGCTTTCGGCTGATAGTTAACATCTAATGAGACACATATACAAAGAAGACAAAACTGTGTCAAAATGATGACTACACCTTCGATTTTATGAAAAAATATTCGGATTTTCAAAGTATTTTACACTAACAAGTGCAAAACACCAAGTTATTCGTACAGCAAATATGAAAAGTTGACATGACTAGGTGCATACTTGTTTTTCAGCTATGATCTGTGCCTACTATGGTCTACAACCATTGATCAACCATTTCAAACGGATACTTCCAAGCCAACTATTGGGTATTGTATTGATCTCTATCACAAATGATCAATAGCTGTTAATGATGTGTATTCATGGCAATGTTTCTTGTGTCAAATGCACCTTTGAATGTGGTAACGTAAATATTGAAGACAAAATTCATTTGGATGAATAATTTATGATTATTATTCAACACTAATAACAGTTTAATTTTCCTTTATCGTCAAGATGTGTACCATTGATTAAAACATGCTTTCTTGCCACTTTCCCTTCTACTCCGCACCCCTCACTCATTCTCTCTTGTTATTCATTGTTGTTTCCCGTGCTTCTCTTGCATTAGCAATCATCATATTGATTTATAGATCAACTCACTGTTAGTCACTGAAAGCACATTAGGAATGAAACATGATAAAGTTAGTGGTTTCGTTAGAAAAAACCGGACAGACACAATTTTCCAGATGACATAAACAGAACAAACAGTAGTACATATAAATGCATGTGTGTATACATCAATTTAACTTATGATGTTTTCGAAACTCAGATCACGAACGCATGATAGATAGATCATCCGTAAATAGCAGCACGTAAAACGTGTAGTAGTAGTAGTGGAAAACCGTGACACATGGAGTCTAATCATGTGAGATGTGAGACAGTTTTTGTCCTCAGTATTGGATGACGCTTGTTCAATACTGCTGTTTTAATCAAAGTTTGACATTACCAGGCTTAGATACCTACCCGGATGTCTACAGTATAGGCTTTCCCAGTGAAGTTGGATTGGGTCTCCTGGTGCTTGATAATTTGTACGCAACGACGTTTCTTCTCATACTTGTGAACAAACAGCTCCCCAGTGCTGATACTGTGTCCATGATCATTTCAATATTTAAGTAATCAAGAATTTGTAATCCTTATAAAACCCAGTGGTAAATCTATTTACTACTTGGAATACTGTAATACATCAAAGTTATAGAGGAGAAACAAACAGTGATTCATGACAATCGCTTCCTGGTCTCATTATTTCCTCCTCGATCTTCTCGAACTTTTGCTACGAGACATCTTATTTCTGATCGTCTTTATATAGTACTTTGTCGACATAAGTTGCACACAACATAATTGAACAACTGTTTTGAAAAGAAATTCTCCGATACATTATAATTAGGTATACGAAGAGACTGAATTACAATCGGAGAGGCGTAAATTGGACTACTGGGCGCACACGTCACATAGTTTCCATAATAAACTAACTTTAAGAATGTTAGGTAATTCTGTTTTACTTTGTCTCACCTTGATCACTTCCCCTTGACTTGTGATATATATATATATATATGAATTCATTATTATAATTAAGATAACACATCTAATAAAGCAGTTATTTGCAATTTACTGCATTTGTTTAACACTTGTTTAGGCGCATCAGTCTCCCTAATGTTTGCTCTTTGCTCATGTATAGTCATTTTGGACATCGATTAACCGCGTATCTCAAATAGGTGATTTGAATGCTTCGATAGACCAAACAATGGTGTTAGGTTGAAGATCATGCATTAAGTCAACTATTCAAAAATTGTTTGATACTTCCGAGAATTCTGATCGCCAGTTAGAGATGTTTAAATCAGTATATCAGTTTTCGATAGATAATTAAGTGTGTGAAATATATTTTGTGTTCATCATCAGCTACTCTGAAATCTTTTACATATATGAGATAAAATAAACTGTTATCATTCTCTTTAACTTTGATGGAATAACCCAAATGATGTGATGATTCCGTTGTTCAAACCAGCTGATCACTAAATCGATTAACAGACGATTCTCATTCAAATATTAGAAAAATACGAATTCTAGTGAACGATACTTCTTTCAACGACTTTATTATCATGCTGTACAATTGTATACAGCAATCAAAAGCTTTTGCTATAGTAATAGTTCCGTGAGAACATATGAACTAATCTTGATGGTGCAATTGATAGAATATTGTACTACGTCTTCTAATGGTAGCGCCTTAAGCGTTTTTTAGGAAGCATTTTTCGACGTTATAAGAAACATAACAAAAACCTAAAAAGTTAATAAAGAATCACAACCTGAATGTGTTAAGATGAACGAAATGTTGCTATAAGTTGTAGAAAAGTAGTTATAACGACAGAAGACTTTCAAATTAAAAACACAATGGAGATACCTACGAGGGCATTATTGATGAGAAATCAATTAGTGAGAGACCTGATAAAAGAAGAATAACTGTCCAACTCAACAAAAGTGATCAAATTGACAAGATGAATTACATCTTGAATGATCCTCAAAACGTTCAGAACATGAATGAACAAAACGTTTCCAAAAACGAGAACGAAAACGAATCGACCGGATGGCTGATATAGCCCACAAATCAACATGTGGGTTCACAAAACATGCACAAGTGAATTAGGCAGATAAGTACCCATTTTGTAGCAAAGTGATGAGTGAACATTTCAACACCGCTCCAAAAACACGTAGTGAAGCCTAGTATTAAGGACGCATGACAGACCGTTTGCAAGATCATAAACACTAAAGTTATTGTTCACAAATATCCCATTCAGAGAAACTGTATACTACTATTGTGAAAAACATACTTTACAAGAACTAGAGACTTTAAACTCTGTGGATATCATCACTGAATCATTACAAAAATTTACTATTGACGGACATTCCGAATTCAGTAGTGTAATGTATAGACTAAAAGATAGTGTCGCGATGTGTTCACGCTTTTCTCGCATTTCAGGTAAAATTTGTTTTCTAAATTAAAGAATCGTCCACTGACACAGAAGACTGACATATTTTCAATTTATTACTGATTTATGGACTATAAGCTTATGCTTTGTAATATGCTTACTGTTTCGATGGAATCATTTGAATGATTCAATGAACCTCTCACGTTCATATAGTTCACATGTGAGGAAGAAAATACGTAAAGGATAGCTTTTATAGACGTTCTGTTTGCAAGATGAAACGACGGGTCATTAGGAAGAAACGTAGGAAAGCTACGTCGATGAGTGATTCAGTTTCTAAAGATTATGATAATCATTCGCGATGTTCCTCATCTTGTCAATGTGGTCAAGTTTGTTAAGTTGGAAACTTGCAGTTCTTTAATCAAATTCTCGTCTTTATTGATTTCATTGAAAGCTTCCCTCTGTTTTTTATTTACCATACTTGTGTAGGTAAATTTATTATACTTAAACTGATAGCAATATTACAATAATCTTACTACATTCACATTGTTATTTGTTACCACTTTTTCAACTTTGTTGTTTATATTTATATCACGTTTTATAGTAGTGCAGTCAGTCGATTACGTAATCATGACTATTCACAGTTTGTACGTTCTCACGGAACGTGTATTGCGACAAATGATTTTCATATCCATACACGACTGTACAGCCTGATGATAAGTTCGTGAAAAAAAGATGATTTCGTTGAACTTCACGTCTTCAAAATTTTTCAATCAGTTTGAAGCTCGAAATTAAAACGTTTTTCGATGTGTGTTAAACACATAAAGATCATTGTTAAGATATTAAAAAATTGTTCTCAATCATTTGAATAACTTTTCAATCACACAGATGACTTTCATCACTGCTCGCTTTCATTGATTTTTACGTTAGTTTCAAGAAACCCATGAAAATATTCAAAATTTCTGAGGTTGATGTATGACATTTATTTATAAATTTATTTATTACAAGCACAATACAATCATAGTATCAATAGATATCACAAATCAAGTAATCATAGTTTCCTATAATCTTGATTTCTTAAGGCTGGCATTTGACCTTTCTTTATATGCTGAAATAGTGAATATTTCAATGGAACCTGGACCGAATAGGTTTTTCGGCGCATTGCTTCCTCCATTTATATTTATACTGATATGTGACATCTGAGTTAATCCTGAGAACTTTGAATTAGATTGTGGTGCTCCATGAAGATATGATGGAGAATTACGGAATGGTATTTATACTTGTTCTCGTTCTTCAGACGTCTATAAAAATTTCAAAGAGAAGATATTGAATTGCTCTACACAATAGAATATCGTATGATTCATATGATTTACAATTACGTGTATCCGAACATTTGCCATAGAACAATCTGAAATGAGAATGTAGACCCTAACTATGTAGGTCAATTATTACACCGTCCTATTCTGGCAAAACATCAATCTGCACAGTCCTGTGAACACCAGCAAAGCTTGATCCATTTGGTTGTGGAGTGAAAAGATAGAAGAATATTGCTGATTGGTAATTCTAAACATGATTTTGGCTGAATTATATATATAAATAAAATTTACATGTCCTTCCTGTAATACAAGTGTAGCCATAGATCGCCCTCCAAATAGAATTGTAATACCATCATCCACCCTCTGTATAGAACTCCACTAAATAATGATGACTTTTATTTCATGACTTTTATTGTATGATTTGTCGACCACAACGATTTGTTGTGTTTAACTGTTTCTTTAACTGACAAATTATACAGAAGTGTGAACACATACTTCAGAGGTGAATTTAACTAAGCTTATGAACATTTGAATAACTGACCCTTAGGGTAGAATATCTTGTGTCTTCAAAAAATCACATACTCGTTCGCTTTTATACTTTCATTTCACGTCGACATTATAAGTTTCAAACAATCAGGTTATCACAAATACGATAAGTCTCATAATAGTCCTTGAGAGTGTGATACAAATATCAGCTGATTACATATGGTGGTCTTGTGTGACATTATTGCATGACATGATTACGAAGTTATATCAAGAGCAGTTTAATCAAACTAACATGAGTTCACTAGTCACACACACGCATATACAAGCAGATGATTAATTGGTTTTCAAATAAAGGGCAATATAAAATTGTGATGTAATCCAAGCATATCAAGGAAATCAATCGTTACTTTCTTGTAGTTTACATCACAGACAGACATAAGCAATCATTCACTCAAAACTGAAAAGAATTGGATTGCTGTTTTGTTCAGTGATATGACTCCTCAGAGTGCATCGGATGCATAACCGATGGTTGGATATTTGACAACCGGGTATTGTGTAGAGCTACTAACCTCTAGAATTCTTATCTGATATCCAAACGTTTGCGCGATTAACTTCATTAATTTCGCAATATTGTGACAATCAATGTTAAGATTTACAAATGAGGATGAACTGTGCGGTTCCGTTTGTACAGATTTGTATGACTTTTACGTTGAAATATCTGGTGAAACTGATAATGAATTTCTCTCATCCGAGTTGATTGCTTTTGTACGAAATTTTTTGAAAGACATCAGAAAATTAATCAAGTGTTATATTTTCTCAATGTATCAAAGAGATAATCTTTTTAAGCAAAATCCACAGTTTAATTCATGTAATTCACCGAATAAATAAAGTGTTATTGAATAATGTCTTATTGAAATGAAGCCAGCGTTCATAGTAATTGTCTTAAAAAATGAGAAAGAATAGTAGGAGATACAAAGATAAATCTGATAGACTTATTATTCCAGTCAGATTCTGATTTCTGATTCCTTCGCTTAATTTCTCATTCTTTTTTAAACAACGTACTACCCTGTAATATTTTTTTCTTGTTCATCTACAATATAAAAGAGAAATGATTAAAACATTTTACCATAGTATCACCAATATGTGCTATCTGGGTACGTTTGAAGATTCATTTTACACGAACTTGAAACAATACGAATATCCGTAGACATTTCTAAATATACATGTAAGGAGTAAAAACGAACTACAATAAATGCATAAACGGGAATCAAACGCTTCTGCGTGTACGCACCTGGTGAAATGCTAAGAACAAAGTTACGCATATCAATTCGAAAAACATCTAATGCCGGCAAGCTACAATTAAATTTTAACCACACATCCACTGATCATTCGGAGACTGAGAAACAAATTGCTCATAACAGCCAATTTTTCCTTATCAGTTAATTCATCTGCTCCTGTGGAGCAATTCTTATTGGTAGGTGTTGTATGATTTTATATATTCGGGCTTGTGAGAGCCTCTCAGTGCGGTTAAAAAAAGATATGGTTAAAACTGCTGACAGCCCAATTTTAGCTCACTTATTGCAAATGGGCCGAGGGAGTTGCGTTGATGCTATCAGAACAAGCACAAATTGCGCTTATAGGATGAGAATCTCGAGGACCAGTTATCATCAAATACTCATTCAAAACAAAAAAGAGGGCATTTCATTGAACATCCTCTAGTGCTGTGCGCCCACCAACGACTAAAATGAAGACGTTAAAGATCAATTCTATGATAGGCTGAAGTCAACCGTCTAGAAGTGCCCGACAAAAACTTGACCATTCTGATAGCAGACATAAATTCCAAGGTTGTTAATGACAACACCGGATATGTAGATATCATGAAACGACATGGAGAAAAAAACGAAAGTGGTAAAAGGTTTGCAAACCTATGTGCCTTTAACAAACCGTTCATAGGTGACATCATATTCTCACTTAAACGCATACACAAAACCACATAGAATTCATCAAATCACACTGTACAGAACCAAAACGAACACATCCACATCGATAACGTTTTCAGGAGAAGGATGACAGTTGTGCGAATCACGAATGGAGGTGATATAGCATCAAATCAACACTTCATCAGTCTCAATAAGCATTGGACAACAGTGCGGGCAACAGCACAAAAGCTTAAAACTGCTTTTCTTTGAAATACTAACAAATTCAACAAATTCATGATGGACCTCAACAATAGATTCCAGGCCTTTCAGAGCGGCAAAGCGACAGGACCAGACAACATTCAATCGGAGGTGCTAAAAGCAGGTGTAGAAGTAACTAGAGGGAAACTCCACATCCTCTTCAGCAACATTTGAGATGAAGAATAAGTACAGAGAGACTAAAAAGCAGGACTTCTGATCAAAGTACCAAAGAAAAGCAATGTAAGCAACTGTGATAACTACAGGGGCATCACACTTTTCTCAATACCAGGAAAAGACTCAAACAGGGTACTGTGAAACAGAATAAATGACTCCAAGGATGTCCACCTCCGAAACCAACTGGTAGGATTCCGTAAGAATTGATCGTGTACAGACCAAATTACCAAACTAAAAATCATAGTGAAACAGTCAGTTTAATGGAATTCATCACTCTACATCAACTTCATTGATTTCGAAAAAGCATTTGACAGAGTGGATGAGACAACATCATGTAAGCTTCTTTGATAATACAGCGTGCCTCAAGAGATAGTAAATATCATACTGAATTCCTATGATGGATTAGTAGTGAACGACATTTATCAAGAGAACGCGATTGTTTTAATGGAAACAATTATCATTATAACCAATTGTACCAGTGATTTTTTACGGTACTTGTTTGTTTAACTGTACCAAAGACACTCATCTATCCGTTGATTGTAAGATTGCACGAGCTTACGTTTGCTGAGTGATTTCGGATGTAATCCTTTGGCACGAGCTTGGTATTCTAACGATAATACGAGATCGGCAACGAATACAACTCTCTACAACCTCCAATTGCCTTTTGATATTTGGTACGCAACGTTCTTGTAGTGGTAATCATAGTCAACCGTGACTCGACGCCATACTACATTTCGTGAGCCTGAAAATACAAACGCTTTTCATTCGAGGCCAAATCTTCCGAGGAAGCCAATTGCGGTGAGTCTATTACTCATCTATCCACGTCTGTCGCACATTTTAGTATTGACATTTCTTGATATCTAATATTCTGACAACAACTTAAAATGACGGATAACGACAAGAATAGTATTAATATAATAGACACTGACGTCCAGGCTATCCATTTTTGACCTGTATCTTTTATCACCCACGACGCGGAAGTTTGGCTCGCAGCACTGGAGCCTAAGTTCGAGACCCGCCGCATTACGAGCCGACGGCAAAATTATTCCTGCGTTTTGTAATCATTACCAAGGGACCACATAGTCGCCGTTCGTGAGGTCGTCCTCAACATCTATGTATCTATAACTAACGATCGTCTGAAGAAGCGGTCCTCAAACATTTCTTCCCATCGAGTTAGAAGTGGTTGAAGACATAATTAGCACGTCACCATCTAAATGATGCTAAGCCAAGCCACCACCTCACGCGCTTGCGACATTTTGCAGGACCTATGGCGGCTGATTCCGAAACTGTTAATTAATTGTGGATAGAACAGTTACAAGTAAACATTCAAGTTTTTGTAGCACCTCTTGATAACTTTAAGTCACAAGCCACGACGCATCGACTGAGCGCTGTGAATGACTCAGCCATTCCTACTTATGCTACAGGACGACTCACGCTCAACCTGGGAAACCGACGATGGCATCTGTGGACGTTCATCATTGCCGATGTTCTCACAGCTATACTCGGTATTGATTTCCTACAGCACTACGAATCGCTAGTCGATTCACATAGGCTTAAGCTCATTGATACTTCATCGAACAGCGAAATTCATGGACCTCGGAACCCATGTGAACGCGCAAGGAATTTTAGGCTTCTTTTATTTGCGTAACGATATATTCCACGCTTTATTCGAGAAATTCCCCAAATTAACTAAACCACCCGACGAGATTCCACCGGTGACCAGTCGTGTGTTACACCACATAGTCACCTGCGGACCCCCAGTCATGGCAAGACCACGCCGACTGACACCGGACAAATTGGCCTTCGCTAAGCGTGCGTTTGACAATTAACTAGGCACTGGTATTATTCGTCCTTCTCACAGTCCATAGGTTTCTCCTCTTCAAATGTACACAAAAAGGATAGGGTTAGTTGGAGACCATGCGGTGACTACCGAGCACTAAATGTGGTTCCACGCTTCGATAGCTATCACATCCCCCACATACACGACATCACGACATCGCTCAAAGGCAAGACTATCTTCTTTAAGATCGATCTGGTACGAGCATATCATCAGATCCCGATCGTTCTTGAAGATACGGAGAAAACCGCTATCACGTCTCGTTTTGGTCTGCTTGAATTCCTACGAATGGCATTTGGATTACGGAATACTCACACTTTCCAAAGATGTGTCGATAGTATTGTAATAGACTTAGATTCCGTTCACGCCCATATTGATGACCTGCTAATCGCATCATCAAACGTAGATGAACACTGTCAACATCTTACACTCTTATTACAACGTCTTTTGGATAATGAGATAGTGATCAAACCGGACAAGTGTAAATTGGGCAAATCGGAAATTATGTTCTTGGGTCACATCATCAAAAAAGATGGTATTTTATCTTACGACGACAAGGTACATGCGATTGTGGAGTTCAACATGCCGTCCACACTCAAGGAGTTAAAGGCAGTTCACAGTTTGGTTAACTTGTATCGACGTTGCATCCCACAGGCGGCGTAACAGTTACAACCATTAACCGATTTACTATGCAGTAATCCACGTAAATTCGAATTGAAAGATGCTGCACGAACTTTATTTTCAGAGATCAAAACGGCTCAGTCTGAAGTCACACTCCTCGCTCATCCTGTCCCATCAGCCACGCTTAGTATAGCGGGTGATGCATCGGATTTTGTTTAAGGAGACGTTATGCAACAGAACATCTCCGGTAGTTGGAAACCTCTCGAA